CACCTGGCCAGGAGGACCGGGCCCGCTCAGGTGTGGGGCAGCAGGGAGGGAACCGCTGGCCGCGGGTGAGAGGGGGCTGCCAGGCTGCACCCCAAGGAAGAACTTGGCGCCTGGGGCTTTGCCACCCACCCTGCAGAGGAGCCGTTTCAACAGCTCTGTGGAAAAGCCACGGGTGACGTTTAGATAAATATGCATAAGTAAAAGATCGATTACTACTTTGAGCAGTCTAGGAGTTGGTTTGGGTTCACTTGGGACTACCTGGTTGGTTGGTTTCTTTTTCTCAACTCTCTCTTTTTCCGGAAGGTTTCTGAAGAGACGACTCCCAGGCAAAGAGAATGGAGACCCCAGATTTATAGGAAATGTACAGATACAGCGTGGTTGTTCCTGTTTTTTCTCTTTTGGACTGGTTTGGTAAGTGTGGCTGCTCGGCAGGGAAGAGACCAGGACATGTTGTGTGTCCCAAAATAAATGCGTCTCAAATATTAATTGCTTAAAGTTTGTGCTGCAGTGAAAGACTTCTATCGTGGACCCAGAAGGGATGTTAGCCTTGGGGATTCTTGGTGAGCAGCTCCTATCCTCCTAGACCCACTGGAGAGGCAGGCCACAATCCAGTGGTTAGTTTAATATTGATGTATGTCAAACATGTACTAATTTTAAAAAGGGGGAAATAAATAGGAATCACAATTTGCAGTAGGATTGTTATTTAGCAAGGACAGTGTGACTTCTCAGAGTAGAAGTTCCTTTACCCCCTGACACACACATAAGTCAAATATTCCTCAAGCTTTTGTGGCCTGTAACAGGAAAATCTAAGGAAAACCTAGAAATGAGTTACTGTTATTTTAGCTGAGCTGTGCACACAAACCTGCTGTACTGTGCAGCAGTTTGATACAAACCCTGTATTTAAATGTGCAGTGACTGGTCCCACTCTATTTCCTGCCATGTGTGATTCCTGGTAATCTCATTAGGCCTTGCCTTGTCCTACAGAAGTCTTGTGGAAGCTGAATCTTGACACTTTCAAACTTATTTTAGAGTTGTAGAAACAGCAGAAAAAGCCCCACTCAACTTTTCTCATAGGTCATATTCATGAAATCATCCAGGCCAGATGGAGGAGGCATGCTGTTTGCTGCATGGTAAATGATTAATTTATAAAGCTTGATAATAACCACCAGACAGTAATTACCTTTGCTGAACAGAATTCAATTTGAATAGACCCTGAAACATTGTGTTTGTTCTGTTTCCAAATAAGAAAGGCATTTATTCGTTTGTTGACTTTCCAGACTAGTTTCGCAAAGACAGACTTGGTTTTAGGCACAGTGGAAGATGGCGTCTGAAAGGCCTACTAGTATTTTGTCATTGTTACATATACTGTGGCCCTTGAAACTTTCCTCAGGAAGCTGCAAGAGGCAGTGCACCGACAAGGCCTTCTGCTTGCTTTCTCCACAGATGGCGTTTTTTTATCTGACTGTACTATTGTGTCAGTGCCAGAAGCAGCTGCCCTGCCTTGTGCCTGGCAGCTCTTGACCTTGTGCTGTTGATGTTATTTAATGATCTTCCCTAACCCTTCCATGGTCAAACCCAGCACATCACTTCCAAACTCAACCAGCAGCTGTCTGGGGAAAGACTGTAGGTTGCCCATCAGAGCCTGAAGAATTGGAACTAGCTGAGATACTGAAGAGAACTGAAAACTTCTTTAAAATTGCATTTCATTTGCAAAAGTAGCCTGAAGGTTTTGGTATGCTCAAATTCTCTTTTCTATGTCCAATTTTAATGAGAGCGCTTTCTTAGCAGACTGGCTTTTTGTATCATCTGCAACATTTTCAGCTACAGATCTGTATTTGAAAGAGAGCAAAGTGTGTTCTTTTCTGCCTGACTTTTCCCCTTCGGGATTCTGTAGTGGGTGTCCTGACTGGTGCTATGCTGGACGGGATTATTATTTGATGATGCTTTCCTGAGTTAGGGCTGGACAAAGAACACTTCCGATAAGGTGCCAGACTGCAAGTGGGAATTATCTCTTGCAAACAGAAAGAGCACCAGCCTGTATTTCTATTTGCATGAAATACTCAGACTAGAAAGCAGATCTCAAGCTGCAGATCATCTCTGCCTCAACTTCAGTGGCCTCTCCCAGCTCTCCCTTTCCTATTCATGAACTCCGAGGCCCTGATCTTCCCAGACACAGTCGGCCTTCTTGGTGACCATATACACTATTACCCCTGTATCACCTCATTTGGAATTGCACTTTTATGTCTGAAATTAGAACAAGGATACTTTAAAGTATGAGTAGTGTTATGGCAAGGACTTAGGGAAACCCAAGTTCTACTCCTTCCTTTAAAAACTCTCTTTTTCTCCCCCATAAGCTCTCCAAAGGAGAGAGCACATCCAGAGTCATGGTAAATGGATGGTATCATTTCCTTATTAGATCTGGTCAGCTGGGCAGAAGCGTAAGACCCTTTCCCTCCCTCTAAGTCAAAACACAATCAGGACTCTACTTATTGCACTCCAAGTTGCAGGAACAAGAGGCAGGCATGTCACAGATGGGTCAGTTTGCTGTGCCGGCCACATGAGCATAAAGTTATACCACACTCACCGCTTTAAAGTATAGGATGAACAGCCCAGTCTACTAGCGCAAGTGGCCCGTTCTTTCTATAATCTGGTAATTTCAACCAAGGAGGAGCCTGGGCAGGGAGCCTCCTTCCCTGTAAGGCCTGCGGTTGGCAGGTCCTGCTCTTGAGGGCATAGATCCTGTGTTGTTCATCTTTGCATTCCAGTAATAGAGTATTTGGCACACACTGGGCACCTGAAGAATGTTTGTTTTTATTTCCAAGGTAGTAGTGAATGCAGAATATCTGAGACATGTTTGTCTTTGGGACGGCGTACCTTTGGGACATATTTCCATACTGTAAGTTACTGAATAATGTTCTGTAGTCTCGGTCCCAGAATGAACTTCTAAGTATCAAGTACAACACTCAGTGGTACTCTGTGTATTGTAGATTAGAAAACTTGCAGCACTACATTAGTATTATGAGAAGAAATATATTCAGTCAGAATATATTCAGACAGAAGGTCTGTCAGTATGTGCTAATAGAATAGTTGTTTGAAGTGAAATGTCAAATATTCTATATTGGGTAAAAATTGTTAATGATTGAAAGATATTCTTATCTGACAGAATTCCCAAAATTACCTTTTCTTGGCTTCTTTAGTTTTGTGATTTGTAAACAGTTGATCCAAAATACTGTTTTCAGAGTTGTTGTGAACCATGTGCTCATACATATCAACTATGTGGCCTCTACAGGGTTCACGAAAAGTAAGACAAAAAGAAAATTTTCAAGAGGAAAGAAAAAAAAAAAGCAAAACCTCAGGGAAACAATTAGCATAGGCTTGACTCACTTAAATAAATCAAAACCCTCAAGAAAAACATTGAGTTGTCCCAGTGAAGTTTAGCCCAAAATAAAAAGCGACAGACTTGAGGAATAAAGCACAAAGACAGAGAGGTGAGAAAATGGAGAGGAATCTGAGTGTTTGTGGCTGATCTTCCACCTAACCTGCTGGACCCAGCCTGGAAATAGCAGGATCCTGAACAGCTGGCATTCCTGCCGAGGAGAGGGCAAGTACTGTGGAGAGACAGAGCATTTCACCTGGTTCCGCTTTACATCAACATCTTCAGGGATGTGAAATGCAGTTTTCCTTCCTGAGACCAGGCCCTCACACACCCTGGCTTTTGCTAGATGTTCATCATGGGCTACTCAGTCGTGGTTGGAGCTGCAGGAAGACTCCTCTTTGGCTATGACAGCTTTGGCAACATCTGTGGCAAGAAGAACTCGCCGGTGGAAGGGGCCCCTCTGTCCGGACAGGACATGACCCTCAAAACGTAAGTGTCTAAATTAAGTCCCCAGCTATAGAGGGGCTGCATTTCAGAACTTCGTACAACTGAGTCGATTAGGGTTTAAAACTTTTCCTAAGCAAAACTCTTAGCCCGTCTCATGAAAAGGGAGGCCAGGTGCGTGGTAGGAAGAATACTGTTGTAGAAGCAGATTCAGTCTCTGCTAGTTTTCATTTCTGTGTCCTTGGGCCAAGTTCTTAGCCTCTACTTTTCAAACTGGTAAGATATTTATCTTACAAGGTAATTTTAAGGACCCACCGAGATTCTGTGTAACCTCAGGCATAATAAATGTTAATTGTCAGCATTATTATCCATAAGGTATCAGAATCCCAAAAACACAGGTGCTATATGATTCCACTTCGGCCAAATGTTTAAAGTAATCAAACTCATAGATGAAGTAAAATGGTGTTTGTCAAGGGCTTCAAGAGAAGGGAAAGTGGGGAGTGTCTATGGATAGACAGTGGTGACAGCAGCACAACGGTGTAAATACTCAAGGTCACTATTAACTGTTTTGAATTCTGTTAAAAAAAACTTTATGGGTATCTTGACACAATTTTTTAAAAGTTTAAAACAGGCCAGGGATTTAGCTCAGCGGTTTGGTGGCCTGCCTCACAAGAGCAAGGTCCCGAGTTCAATCCCCAGTACCAAAAAAAAAAAAAATTTAAAACAAAATATATGTTGAAAAGACACTCTGGGAATCTGTTCCCCTTCTCTTGTCCTGCCTCCCCTTTTTCCATTCCTAGCTGGGAAGAAAGTGGCTTCTGGATCCCCTCTCAGGGTCCCTAGTGCTCTTACATCCCACAGCAGCTGGGTAAGCACCGGGCATCCAGAGCTGCCACCACCAGGCCAGAACCCATTAATGGCAACAACCAGTTTTGCTCATGAGCCCGGACTTACCCAACTTCTGAGTGATTGTAAGAAAGATTGCCTCAGAGTTCTGGCTCTTAAAGTGCCTTTAATTCTCAGCCTCAGATTCTTCTTTTCCCCTTATTGTTTCCCTGTATTCAAATCTTCTCAGAAGTATATTTGAATACTCTTGGGTACAAATATGCTTTATAGGGGTTCCTTTGAGTCCTTTTTGCACTGGCAATGCCCTAAGGTAAGCTTCTTTTTCATCTGTCTCCTTAGATACATGTTCTTTATGAATTCCTGCAACCCAGAGATCAAAGACATGAGGCTCAGTTCCACTGCCCTCTGTGTGTCCAGCTGTCCTGAAGAGCAGCTCAGCACCCTGGAAGAGGTCCAGCTCTTTGCAGACACCAATGGTAGGCACCAAGAGGCTGGCTCCCGCCCACAGCCCCTGTTATAGAATGAGTCTGTGGGCACCTAGATGGTTAAACTACACTGACCTTGCTTTCTCTGGAAAGTTGCACGTTATACTTCTTCACAGGTGCCTTCCCTCGTGTGGAAGACCAAAAACCTTTTCTTGTGAACTTGTTCAGTTGCGCTGGTCTGTCTGTATTTATCAGAAACTCAGGCTGCCCTGTATGTGCTCCCTGCTCCCCACAGCAAAATGATCATTCACAGAGAGCACAGAGGAGACGGCAGACACTCAGTCCAAAGGCTTCAGCTCAAACTGTGTATGTTGTTTGATGAAATTGTTAGGAGCCAGGGGATGCTTTCATTGACCAACAGGATAGTTTTAACTTGTACTGAAAGTATTTGTGTAACTGAAGCAACTTGCTCTGGGCCTATTGTTCAGATATAAGTCATAAGGATTAAACAAAGGAAACAAAGGAAATTTGAACCAACCCACTGCAAATTTTATGTGTCTGACAAATGGAAGGCTAGATTTTTAAAAATTATTTGCAAAACGGTTTAAAATTCCAAGTTCCTATAATAAATCATCTTCAGATGACCTTCAAATCATATAACTTTTAGTTTTGAATTGGGAGTTTGGAGAGAACTCTAACCCAATTCATGTGTGTGTGTGTGTGTGTGTGTGTGTGTGTGTGTGCATAAATCACCTGTTTTCTGAATTGTAGTAAGGTCTCCTGTCCCCTTCATGGCTTGGTAAAATTGCTGCAGTTTCCTTATGAGCTCCCCCAGGATAATAGTGCAATCTGCATATCTTCTCTTCCAGGCTCTTTCCTATGTGTCTATAGTTTGAATTCCTTGAACTACACACAGAGTCCAAATGCAGATTCACTGTGTCCCAGGCTACCAGTTCCTCCAAGGTAAAAACTTCCATACTTCTTCCTTATCCATCAACAAAGGTATTGAGTACTTTTACAAATCTGTTACTCTTCTAGGCATAGTGAAAAGCAAGAGGAGATACTAGGTGGAGCACTGGAGGGAGCTTACAGTCTGCAAGAGGCCAGGAACAAATAAGGAGGAGCTATTTGCAATGTACATAATGAACAGTGAATTAGAACCCAGGCTAAATAAGGAGAAAACTCGGCAAACAATAAAGATATATATATAATAATACTAGAGCTAGCAAAACATAATGTTAGGCTTTACTAAGTCAGTAATTTTATAAAGTGATTGGTGTATTTTTTTTCTTCTCCAACTATTTATTTCAAAGTAGAAATCATCTACATTTGCTTTTTCATTGTAACCACGCATTAGTAGTTTTTATGATTCTAGATTCTGCATAAAAAATAGGCATGAGAAGCCAGGTATGGTGGTGTGCACCTGTAATCCCTGCAAACATCAGTGGTAAACTCTAAGGGGCCATGGTGAGGATCACAAATTTGAGACCAGCCCGAGCAACTTAGCTAGACCTTAAAACAGAAAAATAAAGTGGTCTGAGAATGCAGCTCAGTGGTAGAGTTCCCCAGGTTTAATCTCCAGTAACTGTACCGCCAAAAAAGGGCCTGTGAGGTCAGGACCAACGGATCGCCCACCTTTCATCTCAAGGAACACAAACGTCCTTATCAAGAGCACACTGGCTGAACTCCTTACTCTTCCCACCAATTAGCACAATGTAAGCAATGACAATGTAAGCTGTGACAACAGAGCAGTGATGCCAGGGTAAATGGGCTGTGTTTGTATCATTAAGAAAGCTAAGGGGAAAAGGCACAGCACATTGTCACCATCATGGTGCTGAGATCTACTAGGACGTGGACTGACTTTGCATTGCCATTCTTTTGAAAACCGTGAGTATGTGTACCATGAATAAGCATTCTGCAAAATCCATGAAAAATAATGATTTAAGTAAAACAAGGCATTTTGTGCCCAACCATCTAGGACTCTGTTTATCAAACAGGTCTTGACTGGAACCCACATAAAAAATTTTTTATATCATAGCCCCAAAACATACAAACCTTCATACTTACTTAGGAATATAAAACTGAAAAAGAAATGTCGCAAAACAAGACCCAACCTTACTATATATGATTCAAAATAATAGCTCCTAATTTACTGCCCTTCAAAAAGTAATGTATTTTATAAGCTTCTAACTGGTTGTAAGTTTAGGTAGAAAAGGGCTAATCTTGCAGATACTCCAGAAAGACTCAAGTAGTTTTTAACTACATAGGAGGCAGGATATACTTAGCCATCTTGGAGGCATTTTTTCCTAATACTTACATTTTTTTTCTTTTTATTGAGTTTTTTGGGTACATTCTAGGTAGACAGTACAGTTACATTCATTACTGGGATCTTGTATCTTTACATAACAGGTCTTGGTTCTCATTTATTCCCCTTGTCCCTACCCTCCCTCCACCCCCTCCTCCCCTCCCCATTTACAAACACTTTAATTCCATTTTTTCATTTTCTCACATTTTTTTCATTTCTCTTATTCCCCTTCCTCTACCACATTTTTTAATACAGGTAATCAAAGGAAATTATTTTCAGAGGAAAATATTCTGTTGTTTTTTTAATTCTAGCTGTTGTCAGATATCATAATCATAACTTAAGCATAACTTAACCCAGAGGAGGAAAAAACTTGAAGTTATTATTTACACTTGGAGAGAAGGATTTTTTAGAAACACTAATTTGTAACTGTACCAGCAGATGAGATTAAAAAAGAATGGAATTTTTAAGACTGCCATTTAAGCAGAATTTGATAAAACTCTCATGACAGTTATAATTCCATGGGAAGCTTATCTCTTACAGTGACGATCAGAGGAATCATATTGAGCTTATGATGTTTGCCAGGTACTTTTTTCTAAGCTCTTGAAAGCCACATATATTATATGTGAACCTCACAAAACCTGCTATAGGTGTTGTTTTTGTCATGGTTTTATAGCCAAGAAGACTGATGCAGAGAGAGCTTAAGGTACTGCAGTCAGCAAATGGAAAAGCTGGCGTTCGAACCCAAACGGTGTCCACATGAGTTTCTGTCGTCCACTGTAAACAGTTGGGGCTGGATTAGACTGCCTGGCAAGTGGCCTTAGGTTCACATCAAGCTGAGAAAGAAAAACACCCAGTACCTCTGTCCTCAGGTCACCATCTCTTCCACCTCTCAAGCCAGTCCTTTCACCCTCACTTCCAATACTAATTTTCCCAGTGAAGACAAAACTGTTGGTTGGCCTTTACTGGACATAGTGAGCGAGACCAAAAATAGGCCTGAGCGCTCCATTTCCTTTTCCTACACAAGCAAGTGTTTGTTTAAGACAGAAATTATCATATTTATCATGGAAGAGCAGTGCCAAGATTTAAAAGCTAGGAAACATGAGAAGTGTGGTTGTAGAGCCAAAGAACATTTTCTAAATACCTCTTTTTGACCACACGGATTGTTTCTTCTTCCTCCGGTGACCATATGAGGTATAGCATACCCTTTTAGCGCAATGGCTGAATATCAAGAAGGTTTTATTCCTAGGTATGTGCTTTTAAAAGCAGTGCAGTGAACAAGCAGTGACAAAGATAACAAGCAGGCATATCTTTTTTCTTTTTGGTGTTCAACGTAGCACTGCACTTTGAGCTAAAAGGCTTAAAGTCCCTCTACCCCACCACAGGTTCTACTTTGAACCTCCTATAGAGGTGCCTGTGCTTGGCATTGCACTGTTTGCTCAGAGAAATTCCACATACCTAAATATGCAGGCGGATTTCCAGATTACTTCTTGCTAAGTCAGAGTGGCTTTGCTGTGGTGAGAAGAAAAACAGAAATTCAGAGGAAACCTCGGGCTATGGCCTAAAGTTCAACTCTGCCTGAGCTAATGACTTACTCAGTGGGCAGCTGGTCAACCCCAGCATGGGTGGTCCAAGCTTTACATATTTTTTATTGTTACTTGTGGGGTTAAAATGGGTGGCTTTTTAACCAGCACATGTTTATTTAATGCCAAAAGGCACCATAGTTAATAAAACTCTGTTGACAAAATTAAGGCCTTATGGATAATTGGTGGTAAACCAAATGAGATGGCATTAAATTTATAGCTGATTTTAATTTTCAGAAACACTACATGAAAACTCAGAAAACATTTGCTTTAAAAACATTTTAGAAGGAGACTAGAGTTATAGAGTACTTACCTACAAGTGTGAGACCCTAAGTATGACCCTCAGCCCCAAGAAAAAGAAAAGAAATCAGATTTATAGGTACAAAGGGTCTCTTTAGCAGTAGAAAAGAAAAAGAAATTAAAGGTTTAAAAATTGGAAAGCAGGAGGTAAAATTACTGTTCTGCAAATGGTGTGACTACAGACCTGGAAATGCAAAAGAACTAAAAAGCTCCTGTAAACAGTAAGAGAACTCATTTGGGTGGTAAGCAAGAGATTAATATACTGAAATCCTTACATTCCTATACTTTTTGAAATCTCCCTTGTACCACAGCAAGAAAAACAAAAACAAAAACCATAAAAGTACCTAGAAGACAATTTAACAAGAAATACACAAGATCTGCAGGAAGAAACCTGAATATGTTCTTGGGGTATGAAGAAAATTTGAACAAATGGAAAGGCTCACTGTGGTCTTGAAAATATAACTCAATAGTACAAAAATCTTTTATCTCCCCTAAATTGATTTATAAATTTATCTTGGTTACAACAGAAATAAAAGGATTAGACCCAAATATATGTGATGCTATATATGTGTATATATATATAATATATATAGCATTGTGTATGATAAAACTGGCATCTCAAGTCAATGACAAAAGATGGATTACTCAACAAATGATATTGCACAACCAGGTAGACATCCAAGAAGAAAAGTTGGATAAATTCCAATTTATTCATGCCTTATATGGATGAATTCCAAATGGATTAAAGATTTTCGGCATAAAAATGAAACCAGAATCAGGCATGGGACACACCTATAATCCCAGGATTTAGGAGGTGGAGTCAGGAGGATCACTGCCATTTTGAGGCTAGCCTGGGATACACAGTGAGTTCAAGGCCAGAGCAAGACTTTCTCTTAAAAACCAAACAAAAAAATGGAAGAAAGAGAGAAAGAAAAGTACTGGAAGAAGCCAGGGGAGAATTCTTTTATAAACTGAGAGTAGGGAAGCCTTATAACCATGATGTAAGTATCATAAAAAAATTTTTTTTGGTATATTTGACATTATAAAACATTTTTGTGTGATAAAAACACTTGAAGCAAAGTTAATAGGCAAATAGTTGCAATCCATGTAAGAGATTCATTTGTCTGATTTGTGAAAAATTTTACAAACCAACTTTTAAGAGACCATTATCTTAATATAAAAATGGAATATGAATAGACGCTTCACAGGAAAAAGAATGTTTCTTAAGCAAAGAAGAGGCTGGACTGGCTACTGTGTTCTCTGCCAGTAGCCTGCTCTCATCCTGTACGGTGCACTTCTTTTCCTACTTTTACTTGGCACAAACTCAACTCTGCAGAGCCTGTTCCTTTTCCCACCTTCAATTAGGAAAAAAAAAAAAAAAAAAAAGGCTGGACCTCTCTTAGTAGGGAACATTGCATCTAAGTCCCTAGTGTTTTTACCATCAGTCTCCAAGGTTTATGACAATCCTGGGTACTGAGTCAGACTGTGGGGAGTTGCCACTTTCAAATAGAGCTGACACAGTGTCCTAAGGAGGGTAATTCATCAGTATCCAGCAGTTATGAATGTATGCAGCTTTTAATCAGGCAGACCTGCTTCTAGAAATGCACTCGACAGCTATGCTTGAACCAGTGTGAGATGGCACTTGTGCACAGCAATGTTTATAATAGTAAAAACTTCTAAACAAGCTACACGAGTCTCAAAAGAGGGCTGCTTATCAGCCTCCCAGAGTTCTAGGACTGCTTAAATAAATTGTGGTACATAATGTACCATTGCTTAGC